AGAGTAGTATTATCTCATGTTCTGCTGTTGGTATAAACAAGAATCAAAGAGATGGACTGGCCTAATTCCTAAGATCAGCTGTTGGTATAAATTAGTAGCCAAAGAGAGTGGCATTATCCCCCAGGCTAAGATGTTGGTATAAAGGACCAGGTGCTTTATTAACAAGAACCCACAAAGAGCGACATTATCCCAAAGGAACAGCTGTTGGTAATATCAAGGAGCAACAAATATTGGCATAACCCCCAGGAACAGCTGTTGGTATAATCAAAGAGCAACAAATATTGGCATAACTCACAGGACCAGCTGTTGGTATAATCAGGGAGCAACAAATATTGGCATAACCCCCAGGAACAGCTGTTGGTATAATCAGGGAGCAACAAATATTGGCATATCCCCCAGGAACAGCTGTTGGTATAATCAGGGAGCAACAAATATTGGCATAACCCCCCAGGAACAGCTGTTGGTATAATCAAGGAGCAACAAATATTGGCATAACCCCCCAGGAACAGCTGTTGGTATAAACAATGAGCTACAAAGATTGGCATAACCCCCCAGGAACAGCTGTTGGTATAAACAATGAGCTACAAAGATCGACATGTCCAGCTGTTCGAATTAAATCATAGGATGAAAACAAAATATTATCTGACCTTAGGCATGGAAGGTACGTGTAAAGACAACCGAGGATTCCGCGGGAACATCTTACATCCGTATTCAGCCTGAAACAAGATTTTGTTTTTATCAACAATCGTATTTTGCAATTAATCATTATTTAAATCAAGTAACTATGATCATATAGAATGCTTATTGTTCTGGACGTACATCAAACATCCAGAAATTGATTAAAGATGGTATAGATCGATGAAGCTAATATTTATTATACGCTTGTGCATTGTCAGATACTTGAGATTATTAGACTATTATTCCATACTACAATGTAAGCTAGTATTTCAGACGAAAATAATTTACAGTCATTGGCATGTTCATATCTTTAAAAGAAGATGACTTTCATTCGAAAAGATTATCCAGAAAGTTGTTATAATATAGTTAAGGTCATTATAGACACCACGAAAACTTCATCCAAATAACACCGAACATTATGCAAATAACACCGAACATAATGCAAATAACACTGAACATTGTGCAAATAACACCGAACATTGTGCAAATAACACCGAATATTGTACAAAAAACAACGAACACTGTGCAAATAACACCGAACATTGTGCAAATAACACCGAATATTGTACAAAAAACAACGAACACTGTGCAAATAACACCGAATATTGTGCAAATAACACCGAACACTGTGCAAATAACACCGAACATTGTGCAAATAACACCGAATATTGTACAAAAAACAACGAACACTGTGCAAAATAACACCGAACATTGTACAAAAAACAACGAACACTGTGCAAATAACACCGAATATTGTACAAAAAACAATGAACACTGATGCAATTAACACCGAACATTGTGCAAATAACACACTGAACATTGTGCAAATAACACCGAACATTGCAAATAACACCGAACATAGTGCAAATAACACCGCACATTGTGCAAATAACACCGAATATTGTGCAAATAACACCGAACATTGTACAAAAAACACTGAACATTGTGCAAATAACACCGAACATTGTACAAATAACGAACATTATGCAAATAACACCGAACATAGTGCAAATAACACCGCACATTGTGCAAATAACACCGAATATTGTGCAAATAACACCGAACATTGTGCAAATAACACAGAATATTGTGCAAATTACACCGAACATTGTGCAAATAACCGAATATTGTGGTAGATGGCAGAGTAACGTTGATATAAGAAATCTGATGTCAGACTCGGTAATGCCGACCAAGGTAACTTTGTGTTCTTTAAGAAGCTGCAATTACGAGTTATCCTGTGCTATGAGTGCTATGTCCAGCAAAATATCAAATTGTTACTATAATGAGACATGAAATATATACTTTTTTCAACTGATAAATCTAGAAAACTAATCAACGGTGATAAATTAAAAGAGAGACATATTTACGTTTCTGTCAGCTTGAAGTGAAGCAAATTATTACATTGAAATGATGTCTTTAGGGGTCAGTTTTGCCAAATTTATACACCGATGATCCGGGTATCTTAACAATAGAGTTAACCACAAACTTCCCTCTCAAGTAGAGATTTGGGGTTCATGATTAAAATCTCACAAATAACTTGTCCTGATCTATTACATAATTCACTCAAGGACACACCTGAAATTAAGTCTATCATTGTCGTTTTTGGCCACTTTATACACCGATGTTCCAGGTATCTTGACAATAGAGTTAACCTAGGCAAATATGAAAATGATAACAAAACAAATATAAAGCCAACCAGGCTAATGTTATTCTTTATTATATTAAACTTCTGCATATAGCAAATTATTACATTGAAATTATGTCTATCGCAGTCAGTTTTGCCAAATTTATACACCTATGATCCGGATCTTTTAACAATAGTTAACCACAAACATCCCACTCTAGTAGAAATTTGGGGTTCATGAGTAAAATTTTAATATTGTTATTTCCTTCCGTCCGTACACGCCTGAAATGCTGTCTATCATTGTCGTATTTGGCCACTTTATACACCGATGTTCCGGGTATCTTGACAATAGAGTTAACGGAGGCAAATATGAAAATGATAACAAAACAAATTTAAAGCCAACCAGGTTAATGTTATTCTTAATTGTCTTAAACTTTTGCATATAAAACCGCTTAGAGAAATTAATTATCAGCAGTAGTTATGCTTGTAGCAACCTTTAGGTAGTAAATTTTGGTACATTTGTTTTTGGTGAAAAGATACAAGTAGCATACCTATTAAAACATGACTGGCTAGTTTTGGCTTTACAAATGAAAGATTGCTAAATTGATGAAAGAGCTTACCAAAACAGGTACTAACTAGCTTGTCAATGATACAACAGACTCTTATACACACGGACAGATTTCCGCTAAGATGTATAAAAAAAACTTGATCATTTCCCTATTGTGGATTTTTCATTTCGATATGGTCATTTTTTAACAAAACCTACCATGCTAATATGTTGGCGATGCTATTCGATGTTTACCATAAATTTGTTACCAACTAATAGCTAAATGTACAACAAAGACATTAAGAGTTGCAGGTTTATAGAGATCATGAGAACATGTTCTGGTCGTCTTAATGATATCAATGATGCTATATTTGTGTGTTTGTTCTGAGACTTTTGATATTGAATTAGGATTTTGATAAGTTTTCTGTATTCTTTTGTCTTTAGACTATCGCAAGTTATACCTCAATCATAACATCACCACCACTGGTTGTTTTCTTGTATTAATTGATTTTCATCTGAGAAATTTTCTTGCCATTTATTGTTTTATTTTGATGAAGAGGTGACTTACTGGAGCTGGAACGGTATGATGTATAACGGGAACACTTTTTTCCCATTATTTATAGAAAAAATGCGGTTAACCGTTGTGTAGAATATGTACTAATGTTAGATTGGAATTTCCGGGAAAATCGGACAATCGAACGATATAATGTTTATAAAAGATAGACAACACTATTCAAATTTACATTTTTATATCAACATAATCATAATCCAAACTCAAATTCCATAATAGTACGGCAAAATATGATAAAAGAAAAATTCAGACGTAAACTACCAGGAGTTTTGAAAGAGCAAGTGCTTTCTTCTTCTGCCATGTAAACTTTGGTCAATCCAAGTAAGTAATGTCATGTTCTCAAATGAAAACAACAACAACAAAGCCAATAAAACTAGGCTAGGGCAAAACATGAACTAAAGAAATATGTATACGGAAACTCCTGAAAAGGGACAAGGGGAAATGACTAGTTATTCCGAAAGAGTAAGCGTTCTTTGCTTCATCGACGGCATCCGCCATGTGAACATTGGTAAATCCAAGTAATTAATGTCACGTTCTCAAATGAGAACTAGGTATAAAACCACGGAATCAACAGGCATGTTTCTCAATGAGGTCACTATGACGACTGTAAAACCTCAACATAATTTTCATCTGTCTGCATTTTTGGAACCCTGTTTTACACGTTTGACCGTACATTGACGACTTATTGTACGAAAATCGTGATAATTGAAGCAGGCCTTTGAATATTGAATCAACTGCCCCTTGAAAATCGAATTAACTGTGTCATGTAAACATCATAGTTCGGGGATGCTGGGATGTTGCTATCCAGAAAAGAGAAATTCACAAGAGGGAAATTGAAAACAATATATATATATGTCTAAAGTGAAAATGAACGACTTTGCATTGTCTTTGTGACATGCTTTGATATATTCAGCCTCGTATGAAAAAAAAACAAGTCAACCGATAGAGGGGCACAGTTAGTTCTCATAGGTATGCTGATGGTCTGTTATATTCAGGTGTACGGAAACGTCATATCAATTTATGTTTTTACATTAAATTGTTTAAAAATTTATATAATTAATCATAAAGTAATTTATTTTGCGATGCAAACATTAAGGTGTACCTTTCCTATTCTCTATCTGTGTATTCTAATGCCAAAAGGAAAGACTTTGTTGTCATATTTATGTTTTAATTGCTTTATTTCACTTATTTTAAGAACAGGCGAACAAATACAACATGGTTCCATTGAATCAACGACGACAATAGTCCATCGCATACACGAGGTAGAATACCAATTCTATTCCAGAACATTACTTTCGTATATATAATAACTAGTAATATAAACAATGTATGTATTTTCTTTGATAATTGAACCATAAACATAACGAACATTTTCCATTACTTATTACTGTTATGGTCTCACGGTGGCGTCGCTGATCATGTTAAGAGAATCATGATCGAAGCCTTCAGTAATTTTGAATTCATCGGGATTTTTCACTATATGTATATATGTAAGGCTACTATTGCCAGTAGTGCTTATTGCCGACAGCTGTTCAGTATACCTACAGCCTGGTAGGAATTGTTCTGAAAGAGTGATTACTATGTTGCTATATATGCAGCAGACAGTTCGAACGAGTGACACAGAATCGTTATCAGAATACATGTGGAACAAAACCGAGGCGATACGAAACAAGACATTATCTTCATATTTTGTGCAGGGAATCGCCAACGGAAGTCTTAATCCGACAGCACTCGGTAATCTTAAGTTAATTTAAATTAGCTGAATTTTCTACCTCAGTAAGGGTCAAATCAAACAATAAGAAATTTATTGAAATTTTCTATATCTGAGAGTTAATATTTCAATAAGTAAATACAATTTTTTGTTAAATTTTGTTTTTATTTTAAAGTGTTTGAATTTAATATGGATACAAAAAAGTATATACGGTGAAACAGTGTATAGATATACTCTGATAAAATTATGGAGATATATTCATATAAATCAATATGCTTATACATGTATTCCGCTATTTCAAAAAGTATTTGCGATTTCATTACGTTCAAAAATCAATATTCTGCGCATTATTCATTTCAAATTTTGCCATATGATTCATGCAATGTTTTTTCCCTATCGATGATCACATAAACACTATCTTTTATTGTCAATAATGTGTCGTGTATAGGCGGCCTATCACAAGAGAGAATATACAAGCATTTACTTGGTGTACTTTCCCCATCTATATTTTAACATTTTTTTTTCGATCAATTTTGGGAAATTCCTCTGCCGCCTCTTAGGTTTCTAAATTTATGCCCTCATCATCAATAACGAGTCCGAGAAGGACGAAACGGATGTATGATGAGTTTGATATATTATTTAGCACTCCGCTAGCAAACTCCAAATTTGTATTATTGTGCTATTCGCTTATGTGTCTTTTGTACAATCTCTAGGAGGCTACATGGTGCAAGATTCGGTCTATTGTTACGAGGTAAAGCACTCCATCGATATCTCTGTTGATCGAGCCACCGACGGCGAACTCAAGGAATATTTACGAATGAAGTCGGCGAGTTATGAAAGGTGAATTGGTTCTACAATAAAAAGTTGCACGTCGTCAGAAATGCTTTTCCGTGAAAGTCAAGACGTTGTCAATGATTTTCAATTGCTGACTTACTGAATATGTTAAAGATATCATAAACCCCTAATATTTTGCAGATATTACAAAGATTTGTTTAACAAATGGCGCATCGAAAGCCCCACAGGTATCAATTTAAGCAAGGCTTGTGAGTCCTACGTAGACTACGAGCGCAAGGTCGCCGCCACAGAGGACACCATCTACATGATAGTGGCCATGATTCCGTGTATGAAGTTGTGGCCTTGGCTCGGACAGCAGGTTCAATCCGTCAGTACATGTCAAACAAATCGTTCCGATAGAGGGGACAATGTTTTGGTCATTATCTTATCAGGAAACTCATTCTACGTTTTGCTTAATTCTTTGAAGGTTAAGGTTAAAGAATTGGAGTTTGCTACGTAATTAAAAAATTGACATATAAATACATATATAACAAAAGCGTTAAACAACACGCAGAGCCAATTTAAATCCTCTCCCACACATAACATGACAGTGATATAAAATAAAATACATTAAGATACAATATTGGGTTACATTTTATTTATTTTCCTCTAAAATACATGGAAAATGACATGTGTATATATTATTTATCCACGGGCAATAAACTTCTTTACCTCTTTAGATACAGGCGAAAAGTCATTTCACTCTCATCGTAGCTATCAACTGAGGAGGCTCAGAGACGAAATTTCGACAAATAATTAGAAAATGTTAAAATGTAGATATGAGTTTATATATACACTAAAGTATTTATAGATTATATAGAAGGTGTTGCTTTCATAAAATATTCAAATAAACAGCTAATTTGATCTTTTATCCACACTTCCCAGTGATAGCATGTATAACAATGAAACATATTTTACTAATACTGAATAAAAAAGGGTAAAAATAAATCAATGGAAAATCTCAATATAATATTACACAAAGTCTACAACCACTGAGGATAATATATATTGATAGATGGTCATGAGGTTCGGGAGCAATGTTTTGGTATAATGTTAACCGAAGTTCAAAGAATCAAAGAAAATTATGCGGTGTCAAATCTGAAACCATATTCACATGATAAAGACTGTTAAGTCGTCTTTATGTTATGTATGTATGTGTCAGGGTGTTATATCGGATGTTCCTTTATCTTTCTTGTATATGGTTGTGTCAGGGTGTGTGTGTGTAGATATGGGTGTTTCTTTAGCTGCCTTGTATATGTGTGTCAGGGTGTCAGGGTGTGTGTGTGTGTGTGTGGGTGTTCCTTTATCTTTCTTGTATATGGTTGTGTCAGGGTGTGTGTAGATATGGGTGTTTCTTTAGCTGCTTTGTCTATGGATGTGTCAGGGTGTCAGAATGAGTGTTTAAATGTGGGTGTTTCTTTAACTGCCTTGTATATGTGTGTCAGGGTGTCAGGGTGTGTGTGTGTGGGTGTGGGTGTTCCTTTATCTTTCTTGTATATGGTTGTGTCAGGGTGTGTGTAGATATGGGTGTTTCTTTAGCTGCTTTGTCTATGGATGTGTCAGGGTGTCAGAATGAGTGTTTAAATGTGGGTGTTCTTTAACTGCCTTGTATATGTGTGTCAGGGTGTCAGGGTAGGTGTGTGTGGGTGTGGGTATTTCTTTATCTTTCTTGTATGTGTGTGTGTCGGGGGTCAGAGTGTGTGTGTTTTAATGTGGATGCTTCTTTAACTGCCTTGTATATTTGTAA